GGAAGGAAAGATGGTTGCAATGTTCCTGGGGGTCATGTGATCCCCCTTTTTGTGATGTTCTGACCAGCAAAGTCCATGGGGAAACCAGATTCACTTAACGACCACTTAGAAACCAGATTCCTAACTTAACAACTGCAGTGGTCTACTTAACAACTGTGTGATATATTTAACAACCCTGACCAAAAAAAAAAAAACACCTGTAAAATTGGAGGCAACTCGTTTCACAACCACCATGCTTAGCAGTGAAAATCCTAGTCCCAAATTGTGGTCGTAGGTTGAGGATTATCATTGTAATTAATTATTCCTCCCCTTTTTAAATTCATCTCAGTGAACAATGTTGGTTTCTTCTTTGACTTCAGATCTGAATGAGTGTAACCTGTCTCCAAAGCCTTGCAATTTTATTTGCAAAAATACAGAGGGGAGCTATCAGTGCTCGTGTCCGAAAGGATACATCTTGCAGGAAGATGGCAGAAGCTGCAAAGGTAAAAAAAAAAAAGACTGATATTTATATTTATAATCATCCACTCCTTTTCCTTCAGGCCCAGGTTGAAAAGTAAGCAAGTAGTATCGTGTTTCCCCAAAAATAAGACCCTGTCTTATATATATTTTTGCCACCAAAAAAGCACCAGGTCTTATTTTCGGGAGATGTCATCCACTGACGAACCTCGCTTGCGCGCGTCACCCCCGGCCTCCTTTTCGCTGTCAGAGGCCTTCCGGAACTTCTTTTTCTTCTGCAGCTGGTAAGGCTTTCCTGGAGGCCTCTGCAGCCAATAACAGAGCTCTGGATCGATCCAGAGCTTTGTTATCAGCTCCAGAGGCCTTCAGGAAAGGCTGGCCAGCCTTGCCAGCTGCCGAAGAAATGGGCCAGCAAGTCAGGTGCCGGGGTGTGCAAGGCCTGGCTATAACTGTCCAAAGGTAAGTAGTAGGGCAGCTCCACACACACCCATCCCCACCCTAGCTTAATTTTTACCCGTGTACTCTGGAGTAGGTGGGATCTTAATTAGGGTTTATTTTGGGGGTAGGGTTTATATTGGGCACACGTGTAAAAATCAAGCTAGAACTTACTTTCAGGGTAGGTCGTATTTTTGGGGAAACAGGGTATAAGTTGCAAAAAAATAAGATTGGGGAAACAAAGGAAGAAAATATTATGCGATGGAAGCTTATCAAAGAGAGATTCAACCTAGAACTTGGGAGACATTTCTTAACAATGAGAACAATGACTTAGTGGAGCAGCTTGCCTTCAGAAGTTGTGGGTATTCCAACATGAGAGGTTTTAAAAAGAAGAGAGTGGACATCTATTTGTCTGAAAAGGTATAGGATCTCCTGCTTCAGGTTGGACTAGAAGACCTCCAAGAACTGTTCCAACTCTATTAGTCTGTTCTGATATTCTTTGTGCATGATCACGTGTATCCATCTCATCAAATCCACAGAAAGCCCACAATGGTAGTTTAGGCCAGCTCTATCTAAGGTTAGGTTTCCAGGAATTAGGACAGAAGAATGAACATCTCCAACAGATTCCTAGCACATCGCTATGCTTAGGAGGTTGCTGACTTTTCAAACCCGCCCTATCTACGTTTCCTGGTAAAATACATGCGGAAATCCCATTGGGGGGCACTTAGGGTTAGGGTTAGGTCTCCAAACTTGACCAAATTTGACCACTTTAAGACTTGTGGACTTCCAACTCCCAGAATTTCCCTGCCAACATCACTGGTCAACTAGGCCATCTAACCAATGAAAGTTAGGTACATTAAGTCCCGGCAGACGCCATGCAAGGTTCACACCTATTCCGAATTGTCCATTGCCGGTGTGATAATTCTTCTGTATTATTCTGTAATTTTATTTGATATGATGCATGCTGCCATTGTATAGGTAGTTGCAGTATATCATCATGTTGTCTGTATGAGAAGCAAAACCTGAAACAAATGAATTTGCTGTCCTTTCAGATCTTGATGAATGTGCAACCAAGCAACACAACTGCCAGTTTCTTTGTGTCAACACTATTGGGGGCTTTACTTGTAAATGTCCTTCTGGCTTTACTCAACACCATTCAGCATGCATTGGTGAGTGACAAGAAATATCAACACACCTTCATCCTCCTATGTTCCCCATAACAACCAACCTGTGCAATGAGTTTGGCTGAGAGAGAAGGACTGGCCCATAGTCACCCAGTTGGGACTAGAACTCACTGTCTCCTGGTGATTGGCTCAAAATCCCCCAGCTGGATTTTATGTCTAAGGCGGGACTGGAATTTATGGAGTCCTGCTTTCTAGCTTGGTGCTTTAACTGCTAGACCAACCTGTGCCTCCTTCTCTCTCTTTCATTGTAGAAACTCTCCTGTAGCCTTCCTCAAAATGAACAGACACACACAGAAAAGGAGAGATTGTCTAATATCCATATATGTATTTCTTTTAGATAACAATGAATGTGCCACTGACATCAACCTTTGCGGATCAAAGGGAGTTTGTCAAAATACTCCTGGAAGTTTCAAATGTGAATGTCAGCGGGGCTTTTCCCTGGACCAGACTGGTGCTGCCTGCGAAGGTAGATCAATGGAGAACTTTACATGACCTTCTGCTCTTTTACCTTGTCCTGCGTGTTAATTAATAGCAACAGCACTTAGACTTATATACCGCCTCACAGTACTTTACAGCCCTCTCTTAGCGGTTTACAGAGCCAGCCTCTTGCCCCCAACAATCTGGCTCCTCATTTTACCCACCTCGGAAGGATGGAAGGCTGAGTCAACCTTGAGCCTGGTGGATTCTAACTGCCAAATTGCAGGCAGCCGGCAAGTAGCAGAAGTAGCCTGCAGCACTGCATTCTAACCACTGGGCCACCATGTCTCTTGAAACCTAAACCTGGATCTCCAATCCCAATGCAACACTTTAACCTCCATGCTACACTGTCTCTGACACTTCATGACCAGCATGCTTTCTAATTATTAAATTAACCCTTAATCCAGTTTGCATGATGCATTAAACCCAATAGACTAAATTCACACAAGATGCAAAACCAGAATAGCAATAGCAATAGCACTTAAGACTTATATACCGCTTCATGGTGCTTTATAGCCCTCTCCAAGTGGTTTACAGAGTCAGCATTTTGCCCCCCAACAACCTGGGTCCTCATTTTACCCACCTCGGAAGGATGGAAGGCTGAGTCCACCTTGAGCCTGGTGAGATTCGAAATGCCAAATTGCAGGCAGCCAGCAGTCAGCAGAAGTAGCTTGCAGTACTGCATTCTAACCACTGCACCACCATGGCTCATTAATGCATTTCAATGCACTGTGGCTTAATTAATGCATTTAAAGTCAACTGGTAATTATATCTAGGTGGGCGTTACATTGGATGACGGGACCATTGTTTTTTTTTCCCCCAGCAAAGTAATCCAAAATATTTCCATCTATGCTTTTTATTTTTTTGTTGCAGATGTCGACGAGTGTGATGGAAATCACCGATGCCAGCATGGTTGCCAGAATATAATTGGAGGATACAGGTGTAGCTGCCCACAAGGGTATCTCCAACATTATCAGTGGAACCAATGTGTTGGCAAGTCTCATTTTTTAATGTCTGAGCACGCAAGTCCCTTTCTCAAGTTAGCCAATAAATTTTGGCTGGGTCGATTGTTGTTTAGTTGATTCAAAGTCATTTCCTGTATGGTTTTGAGAAACACATGAGATTGTCCTTTTGCCTAGCTGGAACTGTAACGAGCAAAGTCGTTAATAAAATCTCAGAAAAACATTGGTTTCCCCCTAGTAGTGACATGTAGGACTACTTTAAAGTTGCCCACCAGCACTTCTGTTTCTGGTCTAGAATCTAATGCAGGTTGGCGTTTCTGCCATTTGCAAATAAGCTAATTTAAATTGCTTTCTTTAATTCATGAGTAATTCTCCCGAGGTGCTTTTCAGAGGCATGCAAAACGACTTAAACATTATTCCTGAGATGCAGCATGAATATTCTAAAAACCAATGTTAATTAGGAAACTCATTTTCGGGGTTATTTCCAGCACTGCACCTAATGTAATTGGTTAATTTGAACAGCCGGTCTTTCCCGGAGATAACATGTTGGTGGCTCAAAATGTGACAATGGACCATTGTTCAGCTTGGTTTTCCTTTTTTTTTTTAAAAAAAAAATGTATTGTTATTGTGGCCCAGCTCTAAGAGGAGGTTTCTGGCTTTAGTTAGGGTTAAGAAAGCTTGCTCTCTCACTTATACACGGTTGCCTATTGGGAACGTGGGCTTTTCGGTGCAGGAAAAAAAAAAAGAATTGGAAAGTTACTCAAGCATCCCTTTTTTTTAAATGAAAGATTGGCTTAGAACAGTGATGGCGAACCTAGGGCACGCGTAGCCGTTTGTGCAGGCATGCGAGCCCCAGCCAAACTTACCTGCACTGCGCATGTGCGTGCCTCCCAACGGATTTTCAGCCCCTTTGAGGCCGTTTTTGCCTTCCTCGCGGCTCCAGGGAAGCCTCTGCAGTCTTTGGAGGCTGAAAAAACGGGCCTGTTTTGTCACTTCCGAAAAAAGGCCTCAAACGGGCTGAAAATCACCTGGGAGGCACGCACATCCGCAGTGCAGGTAAGGGGGAAGTGTTTCGTGTGCCTTCGCATGGGGGCGGGGTGCATTGTGTTTTGAGAGCTGACGCGTGTGCGCAATTTTCGGCACGGGACGCCAGAAAGGTTAGCCACTACTGGCTTAAAAAGACATCTACAGCTTAAAAAGTAAACGCTCCAATAGCCCTTTCCAGGTTTTTGCTGAGTTGCATCGTTGCAGGTAATCCTCGACTTACGACCATCATTGAATCCAAAAAATTTTGTTGCTACGGGAAACATTGGCTGAGTAAATTTTTGCCCCATTTTGTGCCACGGTTGTTAAAGTGAATCTCTGCAGCCGTTAAGTTAGTGACACGGTGGTTAAGTAAATCTGGTTTCCCCCTTGATTTCGCTTTTTTAAGAAGGTCGCAAAAGGGGACCACGTGACCCCGGGACAGTGCAACTGTCATAAATATGAGTCAGTTGCCAACCGTCCGAATTTTCATCAAGTGTCCATGGGTCGTATTCACGAAAGATGGTCATAACTCCCTTTTTTCGGTGCCATTGTAACTTTGAACAGCCACTAAACGAACTGTTGTAAGTTGAGGACTCCCTGTAACTGAAAAACCATCACTGTTCTGGTTTTGCAAATGAAACCTGGTGGTGTATTTATTATCCCTGCACTGAATTGTGTGCAGTCTGGTTGACATTTGGCAGAGCTCAAAGAAATGAAGCAGGGCTGGTAAGGAAAACTACAATATCAGGAACTGGAGACTAAACTATGAAGCTGAAAAGACATTTTGGAAGAACACGGTGTGTGTGTGTGTGTGTGTGTGTGTGTGTGTGTGTGTGTGTGTGTAAAACTGAACTTTTTCTTCAGTGCCATTTTATATACTTTTTAAAAAAAACTCTCCCTTTTTTCCTCAGTATTATCTGTCTTGTGCCTTGGCACACAATTTCTTCTCCTCTCAGCAAGTATCATGTGCTAAACTCAAATTCAAGTTGCATTAAATACAGAGGAAAGAAAAATGAATCCAGATGTTCTTCTTACTGCTTCAAGTCTGACCTAGAATTAGTTCTATTTCAGAGCCATAAATGAGCTAATCAATTCCCAGATCAAATTTCCATTCTGTCACAAGTTCATTAATTAGCCCTAGGCAGGGCCATCATCTCTCTCCCTCTGTTTTCCACTCATAATTTATGGATAATACTTTTATTATTTTAAAACCCTTTTATTGAGTTATTTATCTTTATCCTTTTGCCAGATCTCATAATGTAGATTGACAGAAGGAAACAGGTAAAGGAAGGAGATTTTTTTTAACAGCACATAACAAAATGGTAAAGCAACCATATTAGATGTAACATACAGAATTGTTAAAGATAAGTAAGCAAATGACCCAAAGTTTATGAATCAAATTCATAAGCAACCTAATGTCAACTTCTTTTTAATTGTCCCTTTTGAAAGTAGAAAACTAGCTTGGGTACTGTAACAATTGGGAAAAAACATAATTTATGTCACAAAATAAATCAAGTTATGAAATAATTCTAGTGGGCTGTTTTATTTCACAGTCCAGTAGAAATGCTTCCTGTATAATCTACTAGGACCACTGAATTATATTTCACATAAAGGTTTTAAAGGATAAATCTTGTTTTATTTGAAAGGAAGAACTTGCAGATGCTTTAACGTGAGTTTCTGAAATAAATCATTTTATATAGTTTCACCAAGTTTCCTCAAACTCAGCACTATCAGTTATGTGACTTAAGGTTGATGAATTTTCCAGACAATAATGCCATTTCTGAGAATTTTCAGAGCTGAAGTCTACACATCTGGAAGATATATGACTAATAATGAATCTAGTATTATATGCATCATTCTATAAATTATTGGCTGCATTCATTTAAGACAAGTTTTTAATTAGCTCTTATTAGATAAACAATGAACATAATTTGTACAAATCATTGTAAAAATTAGCTGTTCATTTATCTTGATTTAACTATATATGACTGTTTAACTAGGTGTTGAAAATGAAAGGCGTTCAGTAATTTTGGCATTAGCACAAATATTTTGCGCACCCCATGAATTGGCTGAGAACTAAAATGACAAGCCATAACCCAGGCGTAAGGAATAATAATTATTTAGTTACAGAGCCAGCTTGATATAGTAGTTAAGACACCAGGCTAGAAATTAAGACTGTGAATTCTAATCCTGCCTTAGGCACAAAGTACACTGGGTGACCTTGGGCCAGTCACTGTCTCTCAGCCCTAGGAAGGAGGCAATGACAAATCGCTTCCAAAATCTTCCCAAGAAAACTGCATGAACTTTTTCAGGTGTCAACAGTGATTTGAAAACGAGGAGAGGAGAGGGAAGAAGAAGAGGAGAATGAAGAAGGAGAGGAGAGAAGAGAAAAGAAGAGAGGAGAGGAGAAGAGAGTGAAGGAGAGGAGAGGAAGAAGAAAGGAGAGAGGAGAGGAGAGGAAGAAGAGAGGAGAGGAGAGGAGAGGAAGAAGAAAGGAGAGAGGAGGGGAGAGGAAGAAGAGAGAGGAGAAGAGAGTGAAGGAGAGGAGAGGAGAGGAGAGAAGAGAGGAGAGGAGAAGAAGAAGAAGAGGGGAGAGGGAAGAGGAGAGGAGAGAGTGAAGAAGGAGAGGAGAGGAAGAAGAGAGAAGAGGAGAGAAGAGAGTGAAGAAGGAGAGGAGAGGAGTGGGAAGGAGGAGAGGAGGGGAGAAGGAAGAAGGAGAGGAATCCCATCTCGATCATGGAGAGTTCAGATAGACAGGATCCTTGCCTCCAAATCTACTTGTGTGCAGGATATTTATTAGATAAATGAGATAGTTATGGCTAAATTTCTCAAAGAGATTATGAGAATGATGATTAAAGCTTCTTTGCTTGTCTTCCAGATGAAAACGAATGTCTCAGTTCTCACATCTGCGGTGGAGCATCTTGCCACAACACGTTGGGAAGTTACAAGTGCATGTGCCCCACTGGATATAATTTTGAACAGTTCAGTGGGCAATGCCAGGATGTAAATGAGTGTGGGTCATCACAAGCTCCGTGCAGCTACGGTTGCTCCAATACAGAAGGTGGTTATGTCTGCGGATGCCCACCAGGGTACTTCCGAATAGGACAAGGGTGAGAAGATTCTTACTTTTGGATCTACAGCAAAACAATAATAACAACAACAACAATAAAAGCACCTCCTAGTTTCTTTAGATTAATGCAGACCAACCTATGTAGGGTGGGAAATGGAATCCCTAAGAAAAGGCACAAGTCTAAACTCAATTTCTCAAACAAAAGTTGCATTGACAATAGAGGATGTAAAAAATGGATATACTGTAGTTTGGTCCATTCCTTCATGTCTTCTATTAGTTGACGATACAATCCAGAGGTGGTCATTCAACAGGTTCTGACCAGTTCTGGAGAACTGGTAGTGGAAATTTTGAGTATTTCGGAGACCTGGCAAATACAACCTCTGACTGGCCCTGCCCCCATCTGTTCTCTGCCTCTCATTGAGTCCCAGCTGATCGGCTAGGTCTTCTTTTGTTGCCCTGCACAGGAGAACGGAGCTGGAAAGCAGGTCAGTGGGTGGGGAGGGAATGGAGATTTTACAGTATCATTCCCTTGCCATGCCTACCAAGCCGTGCCCACCAAGCCACACCCACAGATATAGAATTTGACCAAAATGTCAGAGGCGGTATTTGCCCGTTCTCTGAACTACTTAAAATTTCCGCTACTGGTTCTCCAGAACTGGTCAGAACCTGCTGAATACCCACCTCTGCCACCATTCCACAAACCCTACTCCTCTCTAGCACTGATGGCGTGATCTAGTTGGGCAATAAAAGGCCTGCAAGAAAAACAACCAAACTCAGAGAACACCAAGGACCCCTCCTTTCAACCTTAACAACTACAGATGTTCCCTTTTAATGTCTGTCTGATGCCTGTTCTTTCTTTCTTTTAAATTCTGTAGACACTGCGTGGCTGGAATGGGGCTGGGGAAAGGTCAGAACCACGAACTACCAGTCAGCGGTGAAATGGATGATAGCGCTCTTTCTCCAGAAGCCTGCTATGATTGTAAAATCAATGGCTATCCGAAAAGGGGAAGGAAACGGCGAGGCCTGAATGAAACCAACGCCCTGGATACAGAGGTAAGTTGCACCTTTATCCTTCTCAACTGGCATATAACATTTGCGTAGTTTTCCATTTAGACGTATGGTTCTTTCACCTTTTTTTAAAAACTCTAGTAAAGTTGTAAGCTGTCTTGATTTAAATTCATGGGGCTGATCAATATTGAATCAAAACTGTATCACAGCCAAGAAAATACTATATCTGGTTTTCTTTCTACTTGCAAATTGCTTCTAGATTTTGTGCTTCAGACAGAAGAGAATGGAACTTTGATTTTGGGTTTTGCTGATAAGATTAGTTTGTTGCTGCAGAAATGGCTAGTAATAACTAAGTATGTAAAAGTTAAGGCCGTCATTTGATTTTGTTGTGCTGAAAAAAGTTGAAAGTCAATACTTTTTATTCCTTTTTCCCTTTATCCTGCATCTCTCCTCCCCCTTTCTTTCTTCTTCTCATTTCCCTATTATCTTTATTTTCATTTATGTTTTACATTACTCTAATCTGAATAAAAAATTTACACACACACACATGCACACACGCACACACACACACATATATACACATTTAGTTGTGGTTATAGACCAGCATGACAATGTTAATATTTATTTCACATGTGCCTCCACCATAGGAGGTCTGATCCATTCTGGGTAAGAGAAAAATCAGAAATTACACTGCAATAAATCTTTCTCTTTAGTAATTGAAATTGCACATGAGAGTTCTCACAGAAAAGTCAAGAACTTGGCTTTTAGATTAAAACAAACCTTGCATAGGAGACACAGATAATGTTAATAACAATATAGATCAGCTTCTAAAGAGTTTAAGAATCCAGCCCTATGTATGTGATACCAAAGATTAAATATTAAATTTATTTGTTCATCCTCTGATTTTAATGAATTACTTGCCATTTGTTTTTGAAACTGGGCTATGGATGATACCTGATGTTAAGAAAGAAAGAAAGAAAGAAAGAAAGAAAGAAAGAGGAAGGGAAGGAAGGAAGGAAGGAAGGAAGGAAGGAAGGAAGGAAGGAAGGAAGGAAGGAAGGAAGGAGAGAAAGTCTGATCCTACATTCCTCAATTCCTAATCTTGCCAATTCCAGTCTTACTGGAAATTAGTTAAACATTAATTTAATCTTTGTATGAAAAGGCAGCCTTCGTGTGCTAGATTCCTCTTATATTGTGCATCAATATAATAATATAACCATGTGCAGAAATACATCACTGGATTTAATATAGTTTGTTATTCTGACTTCTTTCCATCTTTTGTTAAAGAATCCATGGGAACTGACACATCGGACAAAACTAACTTCAAGTCTGTACATCCAATTTTATATATACTGTACACATAAAACCCATGTAACGTTCAATCCCGTATATGAAATACACCAAGAACTACCTTAGAATAAATCCTCTTACCCATCCATCCAACCTGCTCTAATACGTATGGTTGGTTATATTTGGTTAGGCCATACTGAACCCTTGATTTCATATTTGTACAGCTGCAACCTAATTGGGTTACTGCAGAGTCATTTGACTCTTTGCTGGTTGAAGTCCAGTTTGTCAGAAGTGTAAAAACGTAATCACCAAGTTGGTGGTAACACCAGTTGAATCCCACCCCTGCCTACAACTCTAAGGAAATTGAAAGAAGTCAGATTACCAAGATTACTGAAAAATAAAAGAGATCCACAGATTTGCTCTGATACACAATCAGTTCTTTTCTTCTGCCTTTGTCCTATAGAAATCCACAAAAGTTTCCATAATGAAAAAAAAATTGGCCAACTTCAGGGATTTGTGGAAACATTCATTTGTTTTAACTGCTCGGTTCTACAAACATCTGTTAAACTATATAATTAGACACAAACTCCTCAGTGAGTCTCAGCGAATAAAGTATGAAAGGCCATCTCGTAGAGGTTGGAATCTTTCTCCAATAATTTGGAGGAGGATTAGGTGCTCTGGCTCACAATTGTCTCATTTATTCGGAGTACGCAAGAAAGTACTTGCTACTAATTTAAGCATCGCTTTCTAGGAAAGCAAAATTCTGGAGTAAGAGAAGGACGCCATCTTCTTAAGTTCATAACATTTTGTGCTGCGTCAATAATTTAAGTAGCTGATATTTTTTTGAAACCCTACCAACAGCTTCAACAGATAAGGATGATGGCAATGCTTCATGTTAGAAGGTGAAAAATTCAGGAGGAAATTTTTTTATAAAACCTCTCGTTCTTTTTTACAGAGTCAGCTGGGGATAGAGACAGCTGTCAATCTGGCCAGCTGGGACCTTGAAAAACCAGCTGTCTTATCTTACAACATCTCCGACCTTAACAACAAGGATCGCCTCTTGGAACTGATCCCCGCTCTCACAACCCTGACAAACCACAACCGATATTTAGTAGACCACGGGAACGAAGACGGTTTCTTTAGGATAAATCAGAAAGAAGGCGTCAGCTACCTTCATTTAGCTAAAAAGAAACCAGCGCCTGGAATATATTCACTACAGATCAGTAGCATCCCACTCTACAAAAGGAAGGAACTCCTTCAATTTGAAGATAAGCATGACCAAGACTACCTCAGTGGGGAGCTAGGAGACAGCCTGAGAATGAGAATTGAGATTGTGCTTCATTAATTCACCCACCAGAGACCAAAAATTATGAAAGCCAAAGATAGCTAGGGTGAGACTTGAATGTTTTATTCCTCAGTAAAAGTTCTCCATATCGCAGGAACGAGCTGTCATGTATTTCCCTTGGACACATGAGCACTATTCCAGTTTGATGTAAGTAAAAGGTACAGGGAGGAAACCGTAGCTCACAACCATCATTTTTCTCAGGCTTCTTGTAAGTGTAGCTACTTTGGAGATACTGAATCTTGAATTTCGGGACTGCTGTTGGAAGGTGGTCACAGATGCCAAGCCAATGTCTGATCAGCACAGGTGCCAAGAGTTGCAAGACCACAAATCCGTCAATAGAGTCTTCTTCTTTTCTTCTTCTTTTCTTTTTAAATCTTAAGATCCGCTTCTCCAGCTACATCTTACTAGGTCAGCCATTTCTGTAATCAATTTGGTGCTAGAAACAATGTCCAACCTAGATTTTTATAAATGCACTGTAATATATACACAATTTAGAAGCCAAAGAAATTGCCATTACTCAGTCTTAACTACATCAATCAACCCCAATTTAGCTCAGTAGTTTATCTCAGTTATATCTATAATACAGTACATGTAAATTAAGGTGTGTGTATACTGTAACCATGCTATTCTTATCCATGAAGCATTTGTAAACTAGAATAATAATACCCTTCATGCAAGGGTTTATAATGGTGCTTATAAGACCAACTACTTAACTGTGTACACAAACTTGGTGATGAAATTTTCTGTGACAATCATAATGCACTGAGGTCAGCAAAGACCATTCACAACTAACCCAGAGTCACTTGACACAGTGCCATCCAGTTATGCTGTGACATAATGTAACACATGTCCAATAATACCTATCTTGACTCATATCTACAGGGGTTCAATGTCAAAAAGTCACAATAAAACCATTCTTTTTTTAGTTCATTCCGTGGATTCATATTCTTGCTAAACTTGCACCAGTCCAGGCAATATATATATATATATATATTTATATATATATACAGGTATGTTCAGGAAAAAAAAACTCTATACTGGGAGAAAACTGGGACATTATGATCTATAGCCTACATTTGACCCCTATGCATTTCTCTGTAGTCACAATCTCCTATTTTTTACAAATCTTGAATAGTCACTTTTATACTTACATTGAAATATAATTATTAATAAAAGAGCTACAAAACCCACCCGGACAATTCACAGTTTTTAGTTTGATTGTGGGGTGAGATTGATTGAGAAAAAAAAGAACTTGGAAATTCAATCATTGTAGAAACGTCTGTAGCCATGCGTAGGATGGAGTTTCTTGTATTGAGGGAGAAAACAGAGAAACTCTTGTAACTAAAATACAGCCACTAATTGAGCAAATTAAAATTAATTCTAAATTGGAAAATAATGTGATGCATTCTCTTATAAGCTGCAATCCAACCTTTTCAAAGTTTTTGTTAATGTTTTTGTCCAAATTAACACGTTAAGAACTACCATCGTAGTATTCTAATGTATGATCAAATTATTTCAAAACTGATATTATCCAACCAGCTAAAATGTCAGCTGTTGTATTTCTGTTGTTTATGAAATTAGCTAATTCTGTCATACTTTCAGTAATTCTTCCTGGAAGTGGTGGTATTGGTGGTTATTGCTTCTCCATCATCTGAAGAATAATTATTTTGATGCGGTGTGCATGTTGCTTACCAGTTCCTTCCTTCTGATCTAACAGACTCTACTCATAGCAGCATACACAAATATATATCCAGCATAGGTGTATGTTGTCTGACAGTGCCAAACATTTCCTTCAAAGAGCCCACCTTCATTTAGAAAATTTGCTACCCATTCTTAACAATTGATTAAGATACCTTGAAAACTAGCCAATCTGTATTTGGAATTGTTCATGCAATTCTGGAGGTTGGATACAAAATCAACAAAAAGTTGGCTTAAAACTATATTGAGTTTATGAATGGCATGGACTTAGAAAGTCCTCTTTGGATGGGAAGATGACTGTTTCCTTCTAAATAACCAAGTACAGCTATTATTGAACAGATTTATTTACATATTTCAACCCCTCTGGTAAATAAACAGAGATTAATCTGTATGAAGGATAAGAGTATATTTATTCCTATGTATAATCTCATATTGCTAGCTTCGTCTTTTATGTTGCAAATGTTATATCCCTGAAATTATTTTTTCTCTCTCTCTTGTAGTGGATGTTTTTTTTTATAAATTAGTCTGCTATCTTTTGAAGCAAAATGCAGCTACACTTAACATGAAGATTTGAATTGATCAGTAATGAAAATTTCATATCCCCCAAACAAATACAGGTGAATTTTGGCGAGCTCCTAAAAAAGGGGGGAAAAACTATGGTCTAGACATAACATTTATATTGGGAGGCTGCCCAGAGTTATTTAATGGTATGATGAAGGTAAAATGATCTGTATAATATTAATGAATTCCCAGATGTGTAGCTTTAGAAATCCCCAAGAATCATACGCAGACATTCAGATTTAAGAATGTGAAAAAATTCCTTGCGTGCTTCCTCTTTTGCCCTCTAATCCACCTTGAAAAAAAGGACTGAATGTAAAATTGTATTTGATTCTGTGCAGGTATGCATAACCTGGTTAGCATTTTCTAGAGATGCCTTTTTAGAAGGATCCCAGACAGTGTAGAAAAATGCATTGTGTGTATGTGTGAGAGAAAACTAGAACGTGGCCTTTCAATATAACAGAAATTCCCAGTGCCAAAGCCCATCATTTGTTTTAGCTTTCAGCTCTCTGTGAGCCAGCTCTGAAAAGTTTCCCCCCCCCAAAAAAATATTATATAAATACACAAATTGGCTTTCATGCATGCAATCTCTGCATGACTGATTCTGACTAGGGAGAGAAAGAAACTATTGCTCGACTACACTGGTGATGGAATATTATAAAATTAATACTCTGTTCCGGGGCTTATGTTACTCAGACATAAGCATAGCTGAATGCAGTTGGACTTTTCTTCCAGTGAATATGAATAAAGTGTTTAGCTTCGGTTATTTAACTGGACTAGGATGCTGAATCAGGATGATAAACACCTTGAGAAATTGTCATTTCAAATGCATTGCCTGTTAAAACCCTTGCAAAAATTGTTTCGCCTACGCACTTATTGTACCGTGCGCTACTTAAAATACTGCAGTTGACTGTGTTGGCATAATCTAGTATTAAATCAGCTTTAAACTTAAATTAGTTTGCTGTGAGCTGGGACAGGAAAAGTAGTTTGGTCTCTGATAAAATAGATACAGGTAGTCTGTCAGGATTCCGAAAATTGCCCAAATTAAATCATAAGCCTCGAGCCAAACTTCAAAAAAATTCAAAAGGTTTATTAGGAGCAACATGCCGGCATTAGCCTCTATGAAGCCAACTCTGGCATCCATAATTTACAGTCACCTGTGACCCTGTTTCCCCCATCCCCCCTGGGTGTATCATAAATCAGATTCTCCAATGAAGCACGTTCTCGGGCTGGGTGTCATCAATCATATTCTCTAATGAAAGATTTTTGCCGGGCAGAAGATCTGGTAGCCTAGCTACAATCTTTATAGATAAGTGTGGAATGTACTTCTGGTTTTAAACTGCCATAATGCTCCTTCAGATTCCGCCTCCCCCCCCCCCTTGTTTATGGCAACTTGAAAATAGGCGTAGGAATGTTTTATGAGTTGACATAATCCTTACCACAGTCCATTTAGTGACCATTCAAACTTACAACGACAGTGAAAAAAGTGAGTTATGCCCATTTTTCCACACTTATGACCGTTGCAGTATTTGTGATCAAAACTCAGATGCTTTTGGCAACGGACTCACATTTATGGCGCTCCCAGTGTCCCAGAGTCATGTGATCTGCTTTTGCGGCCTTCTGACGAGCAAATAGGGAAACAAGATTCACGTAACAACCGGGTGACTATCTTAATAACTGCAGCAAATTCACTTGACAAATGTGGCAAGACTAGTCGCAAAAATAGGGCAAAACTCACTTAAAGAACGTCTCACTTAGCAACATAAATTTCGGTCTCCTTTTGTGGTCAGTAAGTTGAGGACTTACCTGTAGGTGGATGGCTGTAAAGCACAAATGACAACGGACACAGAGACATCTGGCTGGCTTTGTGTGAAGTGGCTGTTATTTCATTCTATGCCATTAGGAAAATAGGTACAATTAAAAAATTTTTTTGCTGGTCTCCCAGTTGGGAATTTGACCACAACGCAATTCATTTCCCCACAAACTCTGTTTTTCCTGGCCTGTGTACCAGTTTGTAATAATAGAAGCCCGTTTAACATACCTAGGACAAAGTTTAAGAAAACAGTACGTGCAAAGGTGAAATCAATAGCTGCCAGAAAAGAAATCCTTTTTCCTGGAGATGCAAAAAATAGTTCAGCAAGTATAGAACCCTACACAACTTTCAGTTTCCCTATTTGCTTTCAGAGTTAGGGAAGCTAGTTAAAACGTACAATATTTTTGTCGGTTAAGAAGAAGAGATACTCTAAAGTTGCCCAGCTATGATGAATATTTAGCATTTTTCTTTTTTAAAAAAAAAAGGTTTTCAAAGGATCTTTTACCAGGAAGAAAAACAATTTCTATCAAAGTCAGATTTTCATCTCCATAGCGGTAGTTCTTGGTTTGTATGGCATGTGCTGTTTTCCGCCTCTTCATTTGTGTGTCTCTGTGTGTATTATACTTTGCAAAAAGTTGCAGAGCAGAATACCATATTATCTGTCCCTGGTTTCTGTTCCCTAAGATTCTCCCAGGTGGTGTCATTAAGTCAACACCAAAGTCTACTGAACTGGGCCCAGGTCAAACAGGGATCCAAAAGATGGCAAGCCTTTATGGTCTGTGGTATTAAGCCTGGCCGGTTGCAAATAGGCATATTTATTACATGGCTTCTTCTTGAGCTGTGATGTAATTGTGGCCCTACGGTGGTGTCTTCCTTTGTATATTAAAAAGAACGCTTATATATGCTTCATAGTGCATTACAGCTCTCTGAGCAGTTTACAGAGCTGGCATCTTGCCCCCAACATTCTGGCTCCCCAGTTTACTGGACTCAGAAGGATGGAAGGCTGAGTCAATCTTGAGCCGGTCAGGATCAAACTCCTGGCAGTGGGCAGAGCTAGCCTGCAGTATTGCATTTTAACCACTGCGCCACCATGGCTCCTAAGTCTCCTTCCTTGTATATTCCTGGGGTAAAGAAACTTGAGTAAAGTTTAGAGATTAGTCATATGGTGTACCAACATAGCCACCATTAGGGGCTGATGGCCATTTCTGGTTCTTCAGGAGAAGGATTATGTTTCATGGTTAGAAGGTGGGATGGTGATTCTAATTCTCTGTTGGAGAGCTGTGAATAAGCTGACTACTCTTCTGATAAGCATGGGAACAATGCTTGCGTAGGATCAGTTAACCATAGGGAATGTAAGGTGACCAACCGTCCTCCTTTAGGGAGGACAGTCCTTCTTTTGTAAGTTCTGTCCTCTCTTGAAAAGTGTCCTCCTACATGTCCTCCTTTTTGATATTTGAAGACTAATCTGTAAATCTCCGTATTTCATCGATGCCGATCCGATCCGTTGTGTGTGATGTGATGTAAGAGTGCGCCGTGCACAAGTGGCTTTGGTTTTTTTTTTTTTTTCTTCAATTTATCTGTTCCTCCTTCTCATTGTAAAAAAGTTGGTCACCTTAGAAATGGGACTATGACTTTCCCTGTTTTTTAAAAAAATAAATATACAAACTGGCCAGACTTCTTACAACCCAATCCTTGATAAGGATCCTGGCTTTGTTTGATATGGTAAGGAGCTCCTCAGTTGTTTTATATGTATGTATGTATGTATGTATGTATGTATGGTATTCAGCTTTGTTTGGGTATTTTCCCACGTCATTATAGTTGTGCTTTTAAAGTTGTAGCAACATTTCGGCAGAATCTCATCTGCCATCATCAG